ACGTAAGTCCTCTTTCCTCAACCTCATAAGTCCAAATATCTAACTGTCATGCAGATTCCTCACCGATTATTTCCACACGGCTATAATTATGATCATCGCATGCTACTTCTCCGTCAAAGCCTTCTCAACTGACCAGGTTGGCTCCGTTGGTGATCTTTTCGAGCTTGTCCAAGCAGCGGCGCAACGACACCCAGTCTCTGGCAACCAAGATGGGACATATCTGACAATGACATCGAAGAGTGTAAGATCAAAAGTAATGAATCAATTCCACTAATCCATCCACTAACATTACACCAGGCAATCCTTTTCGGAATCCTTCACACCCTTGGAAACTTCGGTTTGGTCATTGTAAGCACAACACCATATATCCCATTACCATCCATTTCTAACTCCCTCTAGATGGACACAAGCTACTTCATCAAAGCCTTCTCCGCCTCCCCCGCTGCAGTAGTACCCGGCTACACAATCGGAGGCATCGCCTACTTCGCCATCCCATGGGCCCTGGGAACAGTAATGAGCTCCGTCGCTCTAGGACTCGAGAACCATTCAAGCTTCCCCACATTCCCAAGGGTAAGCAGTCTACCTTTCTCGATCTCAATGTCACTAACACCACAAATCAGAGAATGACGAGTACGGAAGTCGGCAATGGCCTCGTCCTCCCATACGCAGCAATAACCATCGCCGGTAAAGGCGGCGCCGCAGCAGTCCTTCTAATAACCTTCATGGCTTGTACATCAACTCTCTCCGCGCAGGTCATCGCCGTCAGTTCGATCCTCAGCTTTGATGTATACCGCGAATACTTCAAGAAGAAGGCCACAGACCGGGATCTGATCCGCGCGAGCCACTTCGGTGTGATTTTCTTTGCTGTTTTCTCTGCTGCTTTCAGTACCATGCTGCACTACGTGGGTATCAATCTAGGCTGGACGCTTTATATGCTGGGTATGTCATTTTCACATCTTATCTCCTATCTTAAACTAATATTCTTCTTCTCTCTACTAGGCGTGGTTACATGTCCTGGAATCTTCCCAATGATCTTCACAATACTCTGGCAACGTCAAAGTAAAGCCGCCGCAATTCTCTCTCCGATCCTTGGTCTTGCTACGGGTATGGCAGTATGGCTCGGGACCGCGTCTCACTTTAGTGGTGAAGTTTCTGTCGCATCGACGGGACAAGTCCTTCCTTGTTTATATGGAACAGTCGCTTCATGCATGTCGCCCATTGTATACTCGGTTTTGATTACGTTTGTCCGACCGCAGAATTATGATTGGAATGATTTCAAGAAAGTCAAGCTGTCTCTTGAAAAATTGGATAGTGATTTGACGACCGCACACCATGACCAGGTTTCTTCTCGTGGGGATGACGGGAGTGTTGAGGACGGCGGCAGGGGTGCGCAGGATCAAAAAGAGCTGAAGCGATGGGGTCGTATTGCGGCTTTTTGGGCTGCGGCGACCTTTTTGGGTCATTGGGTTATTTGGCCTTTGCCTATGTACGGATCTGGTTATGTCTTTGGAAAGAAGGTATGTGTTACCAATGCTTTTGCTGCTCTTGACTGACTGACTGCTCCTTTAGTTCTATATTGCCTGGGTCATTGTCGGTATCATCTGGCTCTGGCTTAGTATGCTGGTTGCTATCTTCTACCCTATCTTTGATGGTGGTTTAGAGCAGATTCGTGATGTTTATCGGGGTCTGAGAGGTCATAATAATGTGACTGAGGGTGCTCGGAATAACGATGGCAAAGGAGAAAGTAGTTCTCTATCTGTTGGGTCTATCAGCGAAGATACTCATATCGGAGATTCGCAAGAGAACAAGACTTAAATAACTTTGCGGAGTCAAATCCCTCGGTGTGTGTTGGGCGCTTGGCACGATTATGCTATTTAACGTTGTTGCGAGTTTTTATGTACTACATCTGACCTACACATAAAATGCAGACAAGTTTCGATGTTAATCGTGTTTTTTAAATTTCCAATTCATAAAACATGTATGAACATGTTCGAGATAGATGCAAAATTGGCGCACATCCATCAGCCATCAAGGCTGATCCAGATATGCCCAAATCACATAGCAACCATAAATGTCCCATTCCAGATGTCAGCAAAATATGTTCAATCTTGCAATATCGACAACCAAAGGAAAAGGATGATCTAAGGGAATCCGTTCTTCAAGTTATCGTACTTGGAGGCAGGGTAGTGCAGCTGGTTGCCGCTCTTCTCCAGAGCGCCAACACCTCCAAGTGTGTTAACAACCTGTGTTCATGTCAGTAAAGTGCAAACCCGATATTAAAGCCAGAAATTGACATACAGTTGTAATCAAACTGTCCCCGCCAGCCTTGTCAGAGCTGCTCTCCCACCACATTCCACCGCCCAGTCCGCGGGACTGGATGTACTGCGCCTTCTGGCGCGCAATCTCAGGTGTATCGTAGCTGACAAACAGTCGACTTCCTTGGTTGTAGCAGTAACTTGCACCGGGTTGATCCAAGATTGTCACGGTGCAGCCTGGCAGTGGCAGGCCCTTGTAATCCCACACGCCGTTCTCCCATGTGCCTGCTCCAACTCCATTGTAAGCCTTTCCCGGGCCGTCGGTGTTGGTGAATGCTCGGCCGTACAGCGGCATGCCCATCACGATCTTGTTGGCGGCTACGCCTTGCGAGGAGTAGTAGTCGAGTGCTTGGTCCGTGTTGAATGGAGTGCTAGACGGGTTGTCGTTTGACGCGTGGAGGTTGGAACTGTGACTGGCAACTGTGTCCCAGCTGCCGGAGTAGTCGTAGGCCATAAGGTTCCAGAAATCAAGGTACTGGTCCATCTCTCTCAGGTGCTCTTGACGGTAGTGAATTGGGCCTAGGACTTGTCAGCTGTTTTGGAATATTTCAACAATGGAGATAAAGTTACCAGCAGGGGATGCTACAGTAAGCAGGAAATGATAACCACCGGCGTTGGCCGAGCTGTAGTTATCTAAAGCCTGAATATAATTAGCCACAGCTCATGGATATTCATAAATTAATGATCACATACCCCACGAAGTCGTCGGAGTGCATCGACAAGCTTGTCCGCCTGGTCGTCATTGGCAGGGTACTATGATATCTATAAGCATCATCATTCCAACATCGCAACAGTTTGAGACTTACCTCATAATCAACATCAATACCATCCAAGCCGAGGTTCTTCAGCAGCTCCGTAGCAGAATCAGCAAACTTCTGCCGTCCAGCCTCGTTGTCAAAGGCAGACGCAAAGTTGGGGGAATAGGTCCAGCCTCCAATGGACAGAAGAACCTTGAGCTTGGGGTTTCTCTTCTTGAGCAGGAAAAGCTGTTTGATACAGCCATAGACATTGTTTCCGGAATCATTCCAGGAATCAGTAGGATAATGTTTGTCAGTATCAGCCCAGGTGTCTGACAGGTAAACCTCGCCTGTAGCAGGGCGAACATTGGCAAATGCATAGAGAACATGTGTCAGTCGCTCGGCGGGAAGGTCCTGAGGTTGGAAGTTGCGGCCGTAAATGGCCTGGATAGTCATGTTAGCATTCCTGTTTGGATGTTTCGATGTTTGGATGGTGGCATTCTTGATCCCAGGCTCCATGCTTGATCCAGTGATATAATAATATATATGGTCTGTACTCACCCAGTTCACATAGTATGCCACTGAGCGGTACCCGCCAACATCACGAGATACAATCCCAGTGGTGTTGGTGCTCATGGCAGGAATATAGGCAGCTTCAGCGAGCCAGCTCAGGCCTAGAAGGAAAGGAATGACAAAATGCATGATGAAGGAGTGTCGAGATGATTTCTGATGTCTCGGACCAGCGAGGTTGATGAAGGTTGGTGAGGTTGAGGAGGGAATGACCTCACTATTTGTAGTCGAAGTCGACAAACAAAAGAGATTTCCTCCGCGGATATTGAGACGACGGACAATAGTTGTCAAGCCCATTCAATCGGTTTGTCTTCCCAAATAGGTAATAGGTACCCTGTTACCTAAAGGGTGACTTGCTTGATACTAAGGGGTCTTCATCGTTTCAGCCATTGATGTCGGGGAAACCAATAAAACTCTATGAACTGGTCACATTCAGCAAGTTAGGCAACCGGTGGAGTTCACTTGGTCAATTAGAGCATTGTGTTTCTTGTGGAGGTTGGCGACCTAGGCAGCGCCACGGCGCATCATCTCCACACTATGAAGATCCCAATATGATATCTACTGTGTACTGACCGTGACCTTTGTAGTGGATGCTAACTGCATGGCACACCACACAAGTGTGTAACATTCTGATATCGGGGCTTGATCCCTTTGCGATAACTTGAGTATCTGTCCTCGTGGGGTTAAAGATTCCCCGGCCAATCAGTTAGATAGATTCCTAGGGATGGGTGACAGTATCATATGAAATCCACTGCTCATGCAGAGTTAAGATGGAGGAATATGGCCCGGAACAAATTAAACTGTTCGCGACTAGGAGATCTGTCTTTGGACGTTGCAGCATCACCCCAGCCCTGCCGCAGGAATCATGTTAATGAATGTAACTGAGTGGTAGTATCAACCAAATCTCCGGCAAAAAAAGCCGGTTGACACTATTCAAGGTTATGATTTAGGATCTATGGATATGCAGTCTGACAAATATTAATATACCGGGTTCACCGTCTGCAGGAACAGTCCCAATGTAACACTGGGGCCATGCGACCGGCGCATGTGCCATATTAATGCCATAGCAAGGATGAGAGAGTCAAGCCAGTAAGATCAAGCCAGTAAGAATACGATCCCATGATCGGATGAAGGGAGGTGTCTCACGTGGTTTGGCTTTATACATCTAGACCTTTTGCAATTTTGGGATTCCAATGTGACCGAGTATAGGTCGTCGATTAGTGCTAAGCAGTGAGTTATTGAGCATATACTAGGTTCTTGAGAAGAATGTTCCAAGTTGAAAGATACTACATTCAATTGTATACCTCACGATCACACCGGACATCACAACAAGTCCGATGAGGCTCTAACATCTCCGAAAAGCTCTGGTGAAAGTACCTCATTTCACAGTAACCCTCACCTCCCCTACCAAGGCGATTCCCATCTTCAACCGGTCCAGAAATTTATCCTCGTCAGCCGTGATCTGGGCAGCGGCATCCGGGGCATAGATCTTGGCCGCAAAGGCCTGGTAGGCAACTTGATCCGAGAAAGTAAGTTCGGCGTAGGCATCAAAGTCGAAATCTGGCTGTCGCCCGCGGAGTATAGTGGCCGGGGTGAAGGCGTTGCGTGCAGTAGAGCCATCCGGAGGGATTTCGACCGCAGTGCGGGCGATATAGTTTCGATGATGAGAAAGGGGGAAGTCTTCGCCTGCAAGCTTCTTGACCAGTTTGACATGCGCTTCGTAGCGCTTCTTAAATTCTTCCGGTGACAGATGGGGGTTACGGTAAAGAAAGACTAATATCTTGACAGGCATGTTGAAATCCCGGACTGTAGAAAAGGTAAACTTGATTGAGAGTCTGGTTTCGATATGCTGGTTTAGTTCGAATCTTAAAGGAATCAAGATTCAAAGATACTAGAATGAACCGGTTATTTTTCGGGGGGTTTTACTCTCGGTCCTTACTTTGTACCTTGAAAGCAGTACAACGCGGATATATGCGGGGGTGTATGGCGTAGTATTTTCTAAAATCCACAAACTTGTGTAATATGAGATCCTGATCAAGTGTTCCGGATCTTATGGTACTCGGGTAGAGCCCATTTCGCCATCCATTCGAAGCTAAGGAGCTGCTTAGCAGTAGGACGGGACTCGGGCCTAAATGAGAGCATCGAGCGAAGCATTGAGAAGAACGCATCGCGCTCTGCCTGGTCAATAGGCGACATCCCTGCTGCTTGTCGGGGCTTCTGAACGCTGTCCTCGAATCGGTCTTCCCACGACCGAAAAGGATTTCGATTTATCGGCTTCCCGTCTTCAGTGAACCGATTGTCTCGTTCCTCCCATCGATCCCACCAGTCCGGAGGTAATATGCCGAGTGCATCGACTTGCTCGCAAATTATGTCATCCTCGGTTGCGAGGAAATTCTCAAAAAGTGGTCTTTGGGCAATAATATTCCATGTGCAGCAGCCGAGTGACCAGATATCTGACGAAAAGGAAAGAGGCATATGCGGTTCGAATCGAAACTCCGGTGGGCGGTTCGCAAGTGGGGTATGAGATTCATATTTATTTCGCTGAGTAGGAGAGAAGGCCTCGCCAAAGTCAGAGAGGAGGATCTTAGCTTCTGAAGGCGTGAGGTCATCACTTGCTTTCCCAAGCCATATTGGTACAACAGCATGCGTTGGAATTCCTATGGGTAGGGGTTTCTCGTCGAAACGTCTGATTGCCTCAAGTTCTGGCTCTCCGTACTCTTTGTACAACTGCTCCTCAGATATTGAATTTAGGTCAAATGGCAGTTGGAGGAGGACGTTTCCGTAGTGGATGTCTCCATGGATGATTCCTTGGGAATGCACATAATCGACTGCGATCACCAGTTGTGCTGCTAGAGCGCGAGCAGTCTCAAGTTGAAAACGACGATTATACGAACCTTCCTTTGCCTCAGAGAGGCTCGTCCTTGCCGGATTCATCACATGACAGGAATGTTTGCCGTTAGGACCCTTGATATTAAACCTATCTGATGCTGAAGTGATCATCGATCTCCCCAAATTTGTGCTCAGGGATCGTTGCGAACTTGAAAGTTTGGAGATGATTTCGAACTCGGGTGAATTTGAATCTGCTGTACATACTTTGACGGCGACATACCTGTCGGATTGTTCATCTTTGGTCAGCCAAATAGTCGAATAACCGCCGTGCCCAAGCTTGTGAACCACCCGATAGCGATCTTGGAACCTATCCCCAATCGCTACAGGGTGATAGCCCCCGGCGCTGTACCTTTCTGAACTCTCCACTGCCTCAATAGGCTCGTAAAGATGATATGGTGTAGCAGTGTCTATTGATGTTTGAGGAGTGAACACAGTGCGAAAAGTGCCGTGGACTTGATTGTGGTGGCGCAAGGTCTCCTGGGTTGTGCCAGAAAGATGAGAGAGTAACAAATCCGAGTGAAAAGGCCTTGAGAGCGATAAAACTGAACTTGATTTAATCAACCGTAAAATCAACATCTCTTCAAATAGCCAGGGAATCTATGTGACTTGCTCAAATAAATTACAGGTGAGGGAGAAAGGGAGACACCCATGTAAACATACGGGTAAACTTTCTTCCGCACAATGCTATAAGAGCAGGGTTTCTCAAATGTTATGACTTTGTGTAAGATCTTATCCATATACTCCTTGAAGAAGCTCTAATTTCTTCTTCTGGTGATTCTATATCCATTAAATACCTCTAGAGCCATATATATACTCGCGTTTATATAACGGGGCATATACTACTGTGTATCATATGGCAGTAGCCAACTGGGCAATGATGGCAGCTCATGAAAGCCGAGTTTGTGTCCTAGAGCGAGGGATAAACTTCATTCATCATCGCTTCTTTCTTGATTCCACGAGATAACCTCACCACTACAGTGAAGTACTAGTATTTCTATAGTGACATGGTCACACCAACTAATGGCATTGGCCTACCAGACCACAAGGGACAGGCAGATATATCCCAACGCAGTCCTAATCAGGTATGTTGAAAGACTCTAGGCATTTATGAAAAGGCCGTTAATATTTTCATCCACAATCTTTTTTCTTTAAGCGTTGTCTAATTCATTCCAAGGTTCAACGTGCACAATACCGCCAGTATATGTTTCTTACCATCACAAAGACACCCGCATCGGGGTTACTTAACCTAAACCCTACAGGATAGGAGTTCTACGAGTAGAGTGCCGTAAACACATATGGCTACTCCGACCTTCACACCCTCGATTCGGCTCAAAAACTAGTCGGCATGGAGATTGATGACTCGTGGGTGCAAATTTGAACCCTACTATAGCGTCGGCGCTATCCGACTAATTACGGAAGATACAGATGCGATACCAAGGAGTGGAAGAACAGCAGGACCACCAGATTGGTGTCCGGGAATCAATGCAATCTCCCTCAAAAATACTCACGAAGTTGTATCTCGATGGATCAGCCTCTCGTTCTTTTTTTGGGCGAATTGTCACCCAATTACTGACGGACCATCCTGGCACCTTACACGTCACTTCTTGTTCCAAAGATGAAAATCAACGTTGGCAACACCTTGACCATTTTCACCAGAGACAGCACTCTGGCCACTTGTCCAGCGAGGAGAATTCTGAGGGTATGTTCAAAAGCTTGACTCATACTTGCACTTTCAATGTCGCTTGACCGTGTTCATGAGACGGATACTTACACTATACAAGCAGATCCGCGAATCTGCGCATGGTGCATTTGGTTTTGCCTGTCCTTGACTCACTGGTCCGAACCTTGCCTCTGGAGTGGACAATGTCCCCCAGAGTGTTGTCTGGGCCTTGAAGCAGGCCACCCAGTGGATACAGCTGGACTCCAACCTGGCGGAAAAGTCCTGCTGGAGAAGAAGTTGGTCAAGGATTTTAAGGAGGGAGAGGACGGTTCCGAAGAGGATGCTTCAGAGAGGTACACTCGAGAAATCTACACCAAAGCATGATTGTGCGGGAACTTATTCGTTGGCTTTTCCTTCATTGACTTTATCTCCGCGTACATAGCTCACGTCTCTTCAAATGGTTTCTCTCCTCAATAGCACCTCAGTTCATCCATCGATTCTCTGCCCCCATAGCAGCATTCTCATAAGTAATATCTTCGGCTTATTTACAGTTTGACATAATATCATTCTCGCATTCATGTTAAGATAATGATTTAATCAACCGCAAAATCTGCATCTCTTCAAACAACCAGCTTCCTCAAGTAGATTAAAAGTGCTAGCGGAGAAAGGGAGACATGTCAACAGATGGGTGAGCTTTGTTCCGCGTCCTATAAGCGCAGTGGTTCGCAAGCGTCATGATTGTGAGATTCTATCTATGTACCCAAAAGTTCTAGTTTCTTCTGACTATGATTCTATATTCGCTGGATACTTCTAGAGCTACCAACCTACTCTTTTTATAACGCTATACTATTATAATATGGCAGTAACAAACTGGGAAATGGCAGTTATAACCATCTTAAAGGGGAAAGAACGTCCCCCATGCAAGCAGAGGTTTTGCTAGAGGTGGACGTATCAGTTTCATTTATCTTTCACTTCTCTTTCTCCCACTTCTCCCTCGAGTCCGACACAAAAAGTGATCATTCCCACTATGGACCAAGGAGCGCATGCACCAATCGATGACCTTGGCCGACCAGACTGCAAGGGACAGACAGATATATCCCAAAGCCATCCTTATCAGGTATGTTGCAATACCCTAGCGGTTGGTAATAAAACCTTTATCACTGTCATCGGCAGTCTCTTTGCTTTGCCCCTTGTCTAATCAATTTTAAGATCCGAGGTACACTGTACATCAACGCCATGATATAGAAGGATCCACGGAGTGACACATCACTTTCTGCTTTAAAGACGAGAACCTCCTGTCGGAAGATACCCAGCACTTTAATTCTAGTACCTCCCAGATTCCACCTCCAGCCGCTCGTGGTTCGTTCTAGGGCCACCATGTGGCCTGTCATGGCTATGTGAAGAATATATTCAGCATGGAGCTTGGGTTGTCATCCTCCGAGCCCTCCAAGGCATGGGAGTTTGGAGAATGTTATCTAGGGCCTTAGCACCTTTCACTTTGGTCTCAGTTTCTTCCATGGATGTGTCCTTTCTTATTTCCCAGAGCAAAAACAGAGACAGGCCCAGGTATAACAACTTCTTTTCGATTCGGCCACAGCTGCCAGACTTACGCGGAGATCGACAGCTCAAGCTAGGCCATAGTGCCACGATTTTCCACGTCATGAAAACCTGGACTCATATGGACTGCAAAAAGCCACCCTAGGGAGCGTGGTGCAGCACATAATGCTCTCAGCCGACTGCCCACGCCGGCCGAGCGTAAATACTGGTCAATAGAGCTAGAAGGGGCTTGCTTAGTGTGGTTACAACCAAAGATAGGCCATCTTATTTTAGTTGCTGGGGAGCCTATATAGCTTACATAACCCCAGAGGGTTTCTCTTGTTAATAACCATCCCTTCTATGTATGCCCCTATAGTATCATTCCTAGCAGTAATGGGCAAATATTAAAGTAAGGCTCTCAACCGGGTATATGTAAAAGAAAATGAATTAAAGCAAGAGAAAATAAATAAGCTAAGATACATGTAAACGACATAAGAAAAAAAAGGTTTTGTGTGAACAATAGGGTATAATCGAAACCAAAAAAAGAAAAAGCAGTCATACATCATATGAACGCTGTGCAAAAAAAGGACTTTTTCGTGTTGGCCAACATAATTAGGGGTATTGGTTGACAATTAACAAATGAGCGTGGAGAAAACCCTCCACATCTCGTATTATTTAGTGGCTGGCTCTGACCGTGCTCAGCCTTTCCGTGTACTCCGGCGGGGCAAGGCCGACATCAACAACCACATTGTTGAGATTGTGGTTTGAGAAGTCGGCGGGAGAAGTCACGTTTCGTGGGTGGAAGAACTCATCTAGCTCTTGCTGGGTGACAGTGACACCGAGTGCAGCCTTTAGGGATTCAGCGGGCTGCTTCGCTTGGCTCGTGAACTGGACTGGGACACGGAGGGAAATCGTCGGTGTCATGATATTGGTTGCGGGAGTGTGGTATGTCAATGAGAGATCGAGGGCGTAGACGCGAGACATCAGACAAGCGTGGAAAGTTGGTACGAAAGCCTTTGACGCGGGCAGTGTGACGGGGACTACCACTGATGCGGTGTAGTAGGTGTCTCCGGTGAAGGTGGAGGATGGGCCGGTCGACGAATCGGATGAGGATGAGTCGGTAGAGTCGCGGCGGAGATAGTCGACGGCTGTGGATTGCTTTGTCCACTGAGCGGATGCGACACACATGGTCAAGAGAGGGACACTTTCTGTGTACAAGCCACATCCGATCTGGGCGTAGGGCATGCCGGTTGTGGATGGGAAGTCCTCCCATGGGGAGGAACTGAAGAATGTGTTGACGCGGAGTTTGCTGGTCATTGTTCCCAGTGGGGGAGGCTGTTCGTCGCCGACTGGATCGAATCGCAGGTTTACGGTAGCCACGGTGCTGACGGTATCGTTTGGCTCGCCGTTCGGGGGAAGCAATTGGATGGGTCTGGGCTGGGAGGATGAAGCGACGATCCGGCCCAATTTGCCTCGCAATGTTCCGCGCTTGACGGTCTTTTCTTTGCGTGTGCAGAGAGATGGGCTTGAGGAAATTTCAATGGGAGGTTCTTCTTCGACAATTGGGATGATGCGGATTTTCTTGCCAACGCCGGCGATGGCCACGACTCCTTGGCCGACGAGTGGTTTCTGAAGAACGCATGCTCGAACCGCGTAGGCAATCTGGGACATGGTGGGTGCGATGTCATCTAGTAGTGTCTTTCCGTTGCTGGCAAGGATGGGATCACCCAATGTTGGCGGAAGCATAGTGTGGGATCGTTGAATGTGAGCATTCTTCTTGGAGTGGGTGCAGACCTGGGGCAGCAGGCGATCTGGGACGACGAATTGAAAGGGGTATTCATATGATCGGCCAGCTTCTAGCACTCGAGGGGTCGGATATTCCGTTTCGTCAATTGGTTGGCGCAACTTGAGGAACATCTGTTGCGATCCCGTGCGGCCGGGACATGATGCCCGTTCTACCGTAGTTCGAGATATACCTTTTCTCAAATTAGCATTGTTTATAGGCTGGCCTTCTCAAGGGGAAGTACCTTCAAACACGATCTCAATCTCATCAAATCGAGTCTCATGCTCAACGGTGACGGTTATAGTGCCATCAATACTCTCTCCGGTGGTGTAAGAGTTGACATGTCCTGGGTTTTGACCTGCGAGATATATCTCTATTTTAGGCTGTGATCGTCGTGTCCAAGCATCTAGCCTGTCAGAGCCAGAGCTGATGATTGAAGTTGTGGTCGACATTGTTTCACAGGGAAGGCAAAGAGGATATAAAGACCTGTCCCACCGAGAAACACAGGAACAATATGCCAACCGACGCGTCAATGAAGAGGAGATTGAATATCAAAAAGGAAAAAATGTTTGAATAGGGACCAGATCAAATTGTTCTTAAAGAAAAATAAAGGAAAAAAAAAAAGTAAACGGTGGAGCCGTCGACAACCGCAATGGGGTCAAGCAAAACAAGTGTGGAGGAGCCCTAACAGCAATGTGAGCAAGGTTTCAGATGGCAGATGGCCTCATCGAACATCCCGCAAGGTTCTTATAAATCAATTTCGAGTGACTCACAAGTCATAGGGCGCATCTACAATATACTTCACTGATCACGATAACCTACGTATAGCGCCTCCAAAATCTAAAAAGCAAAGTGATCGTATACAATCCAGTATAGGGAAAGCCGAGCCAGAGAGAGTCATCGGAGATGAGAGAGTGATTGGTCGGATGTGAGGATCCGTTCTAGCATCACGCCCTTGGATTGACATTCCGCTTGGTCAAAGTTGCATAAAAAGACAAACCCCCTCTAGCTTGAAGATCTCACATGATATTTGGTGTATCCCTTGAGGAATTCGAAGATCTTCGAGTGACGTTCCTCTTTTCCAGATCTTTTTCCAGATCTTCCTCCTTTCAGAGCTTTCAATCCCAAAGGGCTGAAGCAACAAGCTCCGTGGGTCAAGGGGGAAAGAAGTGGAGTGCGCCTTACTACGACATGCACGCCCTTTGAACTCCACTTTACATTCCCCCAGGCCTGAGCTTCTGTTGTGCTCTCGTATAGTGGCCAATCATCTTTCTTTCTCATGGAAACTCTGTTCAGAATGAGTGGCGTCGATTTCAAAGCAATATCCCGTTGACTTGCATGCATTTGTAGCACTCTCTGGTCATAATTGAGGACCTTCAGGTTTTTCACTCTCATGAGGTGAGTGAGGTATGTATCAAGTTTCCCGCGGAGAATAAATCATGGAACCCGGGACTAGCTTCGGCCCCAGAGATTTCCGGCCATAACCGAGATTTTTCTGCTCCGGCATGAGTTTTTTCTTCTTTCCCGGAGTGTCGGAGTGAACGGAGAAATCTTGGATGGCGCAATTCGATCTCGGTGTACAAAGTCGGGAGATCGTCAGGTGATTATAGAAACGCGATGCTTTTCGTATACAGTTTGCACCGATTGATATCTCAAAAGATATTCAAACATATCGCAGTATTATAGTGTAGAATATACGATCCCAAATATCACATGCATCTTGCAAAGAGATTAGAGTACAGAGGCCGACTATTGTTGTATACCTTAATGGAAATATCAACCGTTTGAACAGAAAGATTTGAAGTAATTTTGTTTTCATTCAATAACTAAAAAAGGATTTACAAGGTTGTCCCAACTGATAAATTACGACGTAGACCCGTGGTGCATTTCGGATCAAATCGTACTCAAAGATCGTCGACGCGCTTTCACGCTTCTTCTTGTCTCATACAGCCAGCACTAAAAAGTGACCGGCTGCATCCAGCTCAAGATTAGCCGAGGGGAAACGGCAGACCGAGCGAGGCAAGAGACATCATGAAAAGAGTCTACGTGGCCAAAGATAGCCAGG